GTTACATGTGGTTTGATCTAACACATTATTTTACTAAATTAAAATCCCTTAAAAAGCATCCTGTGGCTTTTAAAAATATATAAATAATTGTAATTACTATTCATAAATTTTAAAAATATGTCCAATTTTATTTAGATTACTTAATGAAGATTTGGCACACAAAGACCTGGGTCACTATAAATTTAACAATTTCAAGATTGGGCACAAAACTGGCACATGTTCAACAGTATAATGGACCATAGCCTGGGGAAAAAAAGACTTGCATCTCTGTAGCACAAAAGTAAGTGACATGTCCCTGAGACCTGCTACTTTCATCAGTGTGTTGTAAAAGGCCCAGTCCCCTGCATGATTAGGATTCAAGCTGACCTTAAGTCAATGAAAGTACATCCTACTACATTTTTTGCCTTATTCAAAGAAACATCTTCTACTAAAGTTAGGGACACTTGGGTGCTTAGGAGGAGAAACATCAGGGAGAACCTGTGTTTCCAGTAATTCCCCAGAACATATAAACTGAAGACGTCCTGCTAATGTATAAGGAAGTCTGGGGAGCCCCTGAGACATCAAGCCCATCAGAGGCTCCATAAAAAATCATGTCATCCCAGCTACACCTAAGGGTTTGGATCTAATACTGCTAGTTGATTTTATTCACATGTTAGAAAGTTCAAATTATTCTCAATATTTGTTTAAGTTGGCACTTAGATGCTCTATAAATATTTGTGTAAAGGAAAGTGTAAAGAAGGAAAGGAAAGAGGGAAATTGGCTGCTTGACTGACTACTCTTAGTAAAGTTTTAATAAATTCCCTGCGCCCAAAAAACTCAGTTAATCAGCACACAGAACTAGTAGCATTTTGACTAGAGGAAATGTATTTTACTTTCATTCAGTAAGTGGTTACTGAACCCACTTATCATATGCCAGGGACTGTACTAGGGACTAAGAGTCCCTGTGCAAAGAGAAGTTACCATCTAGGCAGGACCCCGAGAGTCACAATTCAGTGATATGTGCTCTGAGAAGGTGGAGTGGATGCTGCAAGGGGTGACCTAAGCCAGTTGTGGAGGTCACGGAAGGCGTCCCGGGGGATAGTGCTATCCAAGATGAAACATGAACAATGTCTCAAGGCAAACAGCGATGTGCGAAGGCTGTAGAGGAGAGCGGGCACAACACATGACAGGAAATGAAAGAAATCCAGCATAAGAGGGAGAAGTGAGAAGGAGGAAGTAAGGCCCAGCTCAGGCAGGCGTTTGGGCCATGTTGAGGACTTTGACTGTGTCCAACAAGTAATAGGTTTTCACCCATTGAAGGGTTTTGGGCATGAGGCTGACACAATGAGATGTGAATTCTAGAATTACCACTGAGAACTGCAGAATCGAGAGTGTAATGGAGAAAAGGAAATGTTGGAGACACAGGCTTTGTTTTTAAGAACTATCAGCTCCCAGAATCATTGGGAGGGATGAAGAAAGAGAGCCTAGCTGAACTTTCAGAACAGTTTCCTGAAAAACAGGCCAAGGGATATGTTGTCCCCAGCATGATTAGGAAACTGAGGACGCTGCTCCAGAGCAACCAGCTTGAGGCCAGGCCTCTGGCAGACCCGAGTCAGGCGAGAGGGGACAGCAGCTGGACCTGGAATTTTGACAGGGGTGGAGAAGGGTGCAGGGGCTTGTGATTTAGCAAGAAGAAGAATGAATGGAGAAGGTGAGGGAGAGTAAGACATGACACCCAGGTTTCTGAATTAAAGCAACAGGGTGGGAGGATCCATCACTGAAGTAAACAAAGGGGAACTGGGGCTGGGAAATGGATGGGGAGTTTTGGATTTAAGAAGTTGAGATGTGTGAGAAATATGTCAGTAGCCGACTGGAATCAGGGGCAGAGTCACCGTGAGCTGAGGCCATGGGCAGGCATGAGTTCATCCAGGCACAGCACCCAAGTCAGATGGAAGAAGGCCCGGGATGCAATCCCAAGGAACATCACTAACACTTACAGATGGGAGAGGAAGGTTATACCAATAAAGGAGCCTGAAAGAGAAGCAGGAGAGACAGAAGAAAAAAATGGTAAGAAAGCAGTATCAGGGAAGTGAAGGAAGCAGAGGTCAACAGTGCTAAATACTGCGGAGGGATTCAATCAAGATAAGAACTGAGATCTCAGAAAGAAATTGCTGTGACCTTTCAATGCGATAGAGAGTAAGACAGGAATGCCCACCAACCAGCTCTGCTTAACACCAAACTAGAACTCCTGGCCATCATTATTTTTAAAAAGAAGAAAAAAAGAGGAAAAAAAGAAGAGACAGGATAAGGAGAAAAAGAAAACAAGAAGAATAAAGATGGGAAGGGAAGAAACAAAGTATCTTATATGTATTTGATATAAATATTCACATAGTATCACAGATAGAGTCACAAAGAATTAGCATATCATTGGAAGTAATTAGAGTTTTGAAGGTTAATAGTCAAAAGATACTTTTTTTAAAAATCCATAATATTTCTCCATACCACCAACAACTAGAAAATGCAATAGAATGTTATTGTTCAAAAGAGCAACAAAACTTGGGGGATGTGATGTATACATTGGTTGACTACAGTTAATACTGCATGTATATTTCAAAGTTGCTAGAGTAGATCTTAAAAGTTCTCATCACAAGAAACAAATTTATAACTATTTGTGGGGATAGATGTTAACTAGACCAATTGTGGTGATCATTTATTGTGACTTAACACAAATGTCAGATCATTCTGTTGTACACCTGAAACTAATATCATGTTATATGTCAGTTATATCACAATAAAAAAGGACTTTAGTTCTTTCAAAATTAATCTATAAATTAAATTTAATCTCATTATTGATTTTATATTATTATTCTTTAGAAACTCAAATTTATTCCAAATGCACATGAAAGAGTAACGGTTCACAAAAGCTAAATCAGCACTTTAAAAAAAGAGACAAAAAAAGATGAACTTGTCCTGTGAGATAACAAATAGAGTTCTGAAACAGATCCAAGTATACACGAAAACCTACTATATAATTAAGACTGCCTCATAAATTAATTGGGAGAGGATAAACCATCAGCAGGAGAAAAGTGGCTCCAGACTCCCACCTAATACTACATACAGACGTGAACCTCAGGTGAATTAAGAACCTAAATGTAAAAGGTAAAACTATGAAGCTAATAGAATTTTTGTAGAAAATATCTTTGTGACTTTTGGAAGAAAAGAATTCTTAAATAAACCCTCAAATCACAACACTTGTGTGTTATCTGTGCAAAACTCTCATTGGTAGGGTATCAATTAAAAACCTCTCATTGTTAAAGCATCGAGTTTGTGGTGGACTTTCTATAATAAACAAATTAGAAGAAATGATGATTCTTTATGATTATTCATTTAGATATAGAGGTTTCATGAGTATGAGGGATATATACAGTCCCTGACTTGAGATAGTTTGGCTTACAATTATTCGACTTTACATTCTTACCTACAAAATAGTGGTACACATTCATATGATTGTGTCATATGATTCTTATCTACAAAATAGTGGTACACATTCAATAGAAACTGCAGTTGGAATTTTGAATTCTGGCCTTGTGCAGGGCTAGTGGTATGAGGTCTGACCCTCTCTCTGATGCTGGGCAGGTGCGGCGAGCCACAGCTCCCAGTCAGCCAGGTGATCGCAAGGGTCAACAGCCCATACTCTGCAGTGTTCAGTGTGTGACATGACTGTGCCCAGCTGAGCATGCTTACAGCAGAGTCAGCTAAGCTGTGATGTTCAGTAGGTTTGGTGTCTTAAATGCATTTTCAATTTACTTATATTTTCAATTTACGATAGGTTTATCAGGATGTAATTCCACCATAAGCTGAGGAGCATCTCTGATGGGTGGCTTTAATATGCATTTAAAAGGAAACATTAGAGTATTGCGTAAATACTATGAACTTTTCTCATACTCCATAAATGCCACCACTGCAGTTCTTCATACACTTTTATTACAGTCCACGTTAACCTCCCAAATACCTAGGAGGAAAGCTAATTAACAAAAGATTGATCAGTTGTAATCTACTGTTTTCTACACTTGGAAGACTTTCAAATTAAAGGGACTAATACTATTCCCCTTAAAATTAGTGCTATATCATAAGTCCTCAGCAAGTAGTCCAAAAGGAAAAGAATTAAGTTAAAAAAATAGAATTTTTGAAGTTCTAATAAACACATTATAGTTATTATAAGCACAACTGAATAAAGTTAAAATAATGCCTAACTCAAGTTTAATTGAAAGCTTAGTTTCCCCTAAAAGCTTAGGGCTACATTCCAACCACCTTATATCACTACTATCAGCTTCCATAAGAGGTAGAATGGGCACCTCAGAATTCAAATATACTGTGAACAGTCTAAAGAAAAGAAAATAAGCAACTGTTTTGACATAAGATGTCTGTAAATTAAGGCTTGAGTGTAACAGCTGGGGAAAGACCCAAAGTCAGAACATCACAGACTGGCTACTTCAGTCTTCATAAGCTGCAGGGTCTGGCAGAAATAATGTCTGCTTGAGTGTGGTTGGTAGGGTAATAACATAGGTATGATAATTTGTAGTTTTAATTTGAACATTTCATCTAAAATGTCATATAGTGTGCTTGAGTGTGATATTGTTATGTTACATGCTTATGATTTTATAATAAAAGATTTTGTAATAAAACAGGGTGTTACTTGTGCTAGACCCTGTAGGTAAAAAACATTTAGATATAACATTTATCATCCTCTCAAATAAAATATTATTTACTTAATTAAAGAATTCACTCATGTTTTCAACTCCCTTTTTTCATTATGCTGCTCTGAATTTAACTTTTCTTTACAGCCAATAAAACCTGGTAAAGAATAAAAATCATGTAATGTATAATATACTAAAATACTTCTTCAATCTTTAAGGAAACCCTTCTACCTCCTGTGTGTCTCAGAAAACTATAAAACCACCAGAGTGGTGTGCTTTAGTAACCCACAGGTACTCTAAATGCGTTAGGTTAATAAACTATACCTTGCACAACCACCTGGCTGCCTGGGACAAAGAACTGCTGTGTGCCGTCAGCTGCCTGCGCTGTGTCCTGCACAGTTGTAGCACCTGGTGGAGGAGCTCCTGAACTTGTCACTGTTAATGCCGGCATTCCCTGAACAACATCAGATCCTGGTTTAGAAATCTGGATTGTTCCACCTTGAGCAATAGCAACTTAACAGAAAGAGAAAAGAAATATTAGAGAATTCCAAGCTTCATTTTTAATCATCTCATATTGGAAGAATGTACTCTGGGTCTAGATATTACCAATGCTTCTCATTCTCAATTTACCCTTATTTCTGCTGCATTTAGTTTTAATAAACTAAATTATTTAAGAGGAAGAATAGAGATACAGACAGGGAGAAAGTCCAGCATCTTGATTTTCTCTGTTCTTTCAGATATTTTTAGATCTGTATAAAGAGCATTCTTCTTATATTTAAGAAATGATCAGTGACATTCCATTGAGCATCATGCATACAATGAATTTGTTTCTTCATTCAGCTAACTACTTTTCTAATTTATCATCAGAAGAAAATAGCTTTTCATGCTATTCAATAGTAATAAAAACCAATAGAAAATATTGGGTTTTAAAGCCTTTACCATTTTGACTATGTCAGGAGAAACCTGAAATATAAAATATTAGGCTGGTAAGGACTTTAAAAGGTAACTACTGAAACCATTTGTGCTGCAATATTTACCTCTACCAAGTGTCTTGAAATAACTATCTCAGCCAATGGCAACAAATATGAGGAGGGTTTCTTCTAAATACTGAGATTCGCCAGTCATGTTCAAAAGTAACATATTAACTGAGAGTTTCAAAAGAAGAATTGATGAAGTGAAATGTTTTTAAATTTCACTTGAACAGATGAATAAATCTAAATATCTGAGAGTTAATATACTTTAACATAAGACTATGACTCCACGTTTTAGTTTAAACGCTAGAGATTAAGCGGAACAAGGGCTATCCTTTAAAACAGATGGCATATAAACTAGCTAACTAGATTTAACAATGAAGATAAAAATAATACATCATCAGAATAACGCAACACTGATAAATCAATGTAAATGCTTTATAGGAATGTTACAGTAGCATCTAAAATATACTTGGAACATTTCCAAGTCATTACCTAGCCATTTTAACAGTATCTAAGCAAAGGATCACTTAAGTGAAGACCTGATGGGGTAAGCCTAACACAAGAAGATGGGTTGACGTTTTTTTAAAGAGTTCAACATAGATACATTCTTTTTGTTTTAGTTCATTGACAGTCTGCTATTAGAATAGGATCGACAGAAACTGAAGAATCAGTTACAAAATATCAGTTGTGCTCAGGTTGATAAACTCTGATGCAATATCGCTTTTTCTGGCTAATCTAGAGCCTTATATTCTGTACACATTTTAAAAACAATATTTTACCATGACTCTCCAAAGATTTCAAGGGTCTCAGTGTTCCCTCCTTACAATAAAAGGGTTTGGGAGAGATCTATGTCTACCTTCTTAAAAGAGACATAAGAAAAATAAGAGGTAATGTTTCCTTAAATCTTCATGGCTGAACATGGATAAATTTTATATGTTATCAGACATTTGAATGTGTATTTTCAGGTGATAATTAGTTTGAATTGAATGTGTAATTTTCAGTTGATGTCACAGCAATAGTGCTTTAGAAAAAACAAGAACAGGCAGTATAACTACAATGTACAAGAAGCACAAAGCCTAGTGTTAACCTAAATTTTAAAAGCAAAAATGAGACAACAAGCTTGTATTTAGGATCAAAGAATTGTAATTTTGGGAGCACAGTTTCAAGTAGAACTCTGTCCTGATTACAGGATGAAAGCAAGAGGTTTTATGAGAAAAAGGAAAGAAGTAATTATCTAAAAAAGAAAAAAAAATCCTATTGGTGCTCACATGCTGAGCCACTACTGGCTACATGTGATTGCTTCCCGATTCTATCTTCAGATTGAGGGTGCATAATCATCAGTCCTTGTGATCAGAGAGTCCTGCTGACCTTATCAACAACTGTTTATAAAACAACTGTGGTTTGGCCCCAGTCCACAGTTTCAAGAGACAGCACAAGCAAGACAGTTCCTCTGGAATGGCTGCTTGAGCTCCATTTTAAAATGGCCCATTCCTGGTATTTTTCACAACCACATACAGCAGGCACTCAATATGACAAATGAATAGCTGTCATTTCCTCAAGACAGGCCATAAGCCATTTGGGAATCTAGAAAAGTTCAATTCAATACCAGTTAGTAAGCTTTTGGACTAGTAAAAAAAATGTCTGAGGTAAGAGTAGTGGCTTCTGGAGATATGAACCATGAAATAGGTAAGTAACCAAGGTCCTTGCTTTGTCTTTTTTTTTTTTTTCACTGTTTCCCCATAGTTCCAAGCAAAACTTATTGTCTTCACAATCTGAAAAGCTGATACAGCAAGAATCTGTTACTCTTATCACTTCATTTTCTGGCTAAATCATTATATAATGAGATGTGAAAAACAAAAGCTAAATACACAAACAAACTGGCTCTGGAGGGACCATTTTTACTGATAAGTCTTATACTTAAGTCTAGCTTTTATTTATTTATTTATTTATTTAATAACAAAGATACTCTTAATTTTGGCATTATCAAATAAAAAAGGACATTCCCATTTCAAATGCTACCTCTCATTGACAATGTACAAGATTTCCTAATGCTTTAGGATACTGGAAATGGGCTATTCCTGGTGTACAGAACCATATTTTAAAAATCTGCAATTTCCACTACTCATTGCCATTGAGCACTTCTCTCTTAAAACTATTAATATCATTGAAAGAAAATATTCAGAGACAAATGTATTTGAAAAAATAAAGTAAAATTTAAAAAAAGAAAATATTATTTACAAGATGAAAATTCAAAAGCATTTTAAAGTCTTATAAAGTCAATAAATAAGGGGGGAAATATAAATAAGGATAGAAAATGAGGCAGGGTACATAAGCAAATGGGGAAAGGGAACTTATTTAAGATTTTATCTGCTTGCCCTGACTGGTGTGGCTCAGTGGGTTGGGCATTGTTTCACAAACTGAAAGGTCACTGGTTCAATTCGCAGTTAGTGCACATGCCTAGGTTTTGGGCCAGGTCCTCAGTTGAGGGTGCAAGAGGCAACCTATTATGTTTCTCTTACACATTGATATTTCTCACCCTGTTTCCCTCCCTTCCCCTCTCTTTAAAGAATAAATAAATAAAATCTAAAAAAATTTCATCTGCTCTCTTTTTACTTAATGCTAACATCTTTTTAACCCTAAACCTGTATAAATGAGCTGATTCCAATACAGGAGGCGGCCCTGGCAGCTGCAGAGTGCGGGGGCTGGGAATCGCGGCCAGACCCAGGTTCAAATCCATAAACATGTAAATGTTAAGTAATGATAATTTAAAATCATCTTTATCCCAGATTGCAACGAAAAGATTCATGATTAAATTTTCATTGACTTAACATGGAAGTATCTTCTTAAAAGCAGAAGAAATAGTAAAACAGCCTTAAATTAGAACAAGAATAGCAACACCAATATTAGAATCCAGATTTATATAAAGTAGATACCTTCTATGTTTGCTTTGAAAATTACCTTGGGAGAATGTAAGCAAAGTCATTAAGAGTAATAATAAATGCAACTGCATTTACTTTAGATTGTGTAAGCCTGTCCTATGCAAATTCTTTTAATGAAGAATTGGAATTAGTGTTTATTCATGAGTATCCTGAGAATTATCACTTCTTCATCAGTCCACACAGTTCATAAATGTGTCTTTCTCATAATGGTGGATTTTGGATTGACCCACTTACCTTTAGTATATAAGAATTTCAGTAAAAATGAGTTAAAAGTAACTCATTCTAAAAATCCCTAGTAAAATAAAGTAGGAACAAAGAAAGAGATAAGAGACATTTGGAAGAAAATAATTTGAAGACTTGGGTAATAGCACTTAATTGATAATGGAAGAGGTCAGGTTGGGTAAAGTAGAGTGAGGGATTAAAAAAAACAATTGTCTTTAGCCCTGGCCATGTATCTCAGTTGGTTGGAGCATCATCCCATATACAAAAAGCTTTCGGTTTGACTTCTGATCAGGGCGTATACCTAGGTTGTGTGTTCGATCCCCATCAGAGTACATATGGGAGGCAACTGTACAATGTTTCTCTCCCTCTCTTTCTCCTTCCCATCCCCCCTATGTAGAATCAGTAAAAGAACAAAAAAAATTTAATGATAAATAGGTTGGAGAATCAAGTTGGTGGAGGAGTAAGTAGAAGTCACATTGACCTCCTCCCAGGACCAACCTGGAATTACAACTAAATTGTGGAGAAATCACCTGGAACAAATATCAGAAAAATAGCGAGAGAGGATCCTTATAACCTCAGACAGAAGAATCAGCTTTAGCACAAACTAACTGGTAAGGAGTGTGGTAGAGACTCAAGAAGGTGGGCAGGGTGCCAAGGGCAGCGGCATCAGAAGGATATTGAAACGGCCAGTTGGATATCCCTGAGAAGAGCAGGGTCTAAACCATAAGCTGAGATCTCCAGCCTATAGCACCAGAGCTGAAAAAGTACACAGATAATGGCCAGCTGTGAAAAGCAGCAAGGTTGCTCTCTGCCAGAGACAGGAGGCTGGAGATGCAAAGAGCCGTTTAAAGGACCAACGCATAAATTTTTATTTGCAACCACTTACCCTGGTCTCCAAAAGGGCTGAGGCAGAGTAGGAGAGATGCCTGAAGAGAGACTGGGAAAGGAGGCTTAGGGGAGGGAATGGAAAGAGTGCTGACTCCTCCCCCATATGGCAGCAGCCATCTGACATAGGCAGACCACTTCCCTGAGTGGCAACAGCATAAGAAGTCCCAATAATCCCACCCCCAGAAGGGACTCTGCCCCACCCCATGGTGTCTCTAAGCCAGTCTGCTGAGTGCAGAGTGACTAGATTAATAGCTGAAGGAGACAGACACAGACAGTAAATTCCTGGAAGCCTTGAACAGACTTGACTAAAGTCAGACAGGGTCAACATCTGACATCATCAGAGGCAGATCCAGAAAGAAAAAAAAACCCAGCAGTCTCCTACCATAGGAGCTCACACCACAAAGTCAGGAAGTCAAGAGATCAGTTTAAGAAGCAGAAGCAAAAAAAGAAGAGCTTCACAAATAATGGGAAGACAAAGAAACACCGCCAA